TTTTGTATGAATATTTGATCAAAGCATAAGCAAGAAGGAGTATGAAATGCGTCAAAATCCCTAGTTATCAACTCCCCAAAACTTAAGCTTTTGCTTGTCCTCAAGCAAACAAAATAAGACCCACCCCTTAAGAGAAAATCCAAGAAATTTTCAGCTGTCCTAAAGTTACCTCAACTAGCATCAATTGGGACTAACAATTGCCCTCAATACAAACGAACCATTAACAACATTTACTCTTTGAAAAACCATGGATCAAGTGCGACACAAGAGCATCAAGAGTTGACTCAACACATCAAAGAACTCTTTCAATTACTTTGGTCATTGTGGAACCCAAACTGACACATCCTCAACTCTCCCTAAGCAAACCTCACCTTTAGAATAGTGGCACGCAAAACGAGGTCAATGGGAATTCACTCATCTCTCTCAAGAAAAAGTCACAAGTCCGGCTCTAGGTACCATATGCTTGCCCCTTATGAGTATCCACTAATGTAAGCTTCATTCAACTCAAGATCATATAGGGCTTTTGTGGAGACATTGTGAAGGCTTTTGGTTCAGGGTAGGGAATGTTTTGGTCAAAGTGGGTTCCATCTTCCCTTAAGCACTTCTTTTGATTTATTTGGCATTCCTTCACTTGACTCTTTGAGTCATTTTCACTTCTTTCTAAGGGGTTAGAAAGACACATTGTCACTCTTTTTTAGGCATTTCACATATTTTCTCCATTTTCAAGTTTCCACACCTTTCATTCTTTGCTTTTCTTGAATCCCTTTTTATTCTTTTTCACATTGAACATTCTTTTTGGCTTTTTGCTTTTCTTTCTTTTTCATTGCCTTTCCTTTTCTTCATTTTTGTGCCTTTTTACCACTTTGTTGCAATCCTCGTCTCTCACCCCAAACTTATATATTTGCCATGTGCTAAAGGAAAGATCTGGTGCCAAGAGAGGGTATATTTTAGAACGGGTATAGGCTTGTATCATGGTTCATGAAAGAAAAAGGTCTAAGGCTCAAAGGGGTTAACTAGGGATCATATCACTGGTAGGTTATGGAATTTTTCAAACTATCATTTGGATCAAGGAGAGCCTATAATCATGTCTCAAGTCAAAATTCACCTAGGATTTCGCCTCAACAAACATTCAGGGCAAGTTCTAGACCAATGGCTCGGAACTTGGACTTGCAATTCAATTACTCACCACACAAGCTATGGGATTGCTAAAGACATAGAGTTGGGGGCCCACAACGACCTTAGATAAGATTTAAGCTCACAATGGCCCCGAAAAACCACTTGATGATTATTGGCCAACACAAGAGTCTCAAGGTCACGACTTTCACCATCCTAAACACAACAATTTGTTTTTGACCATAAGATCAAAGGCAAATGTGATAGGCCCAAGTGAAGCTTTGCTTGAGGCACCCTTAACTACTAGAAACTAAAAACAAAAAGAAAAACGGACTCAAACCCTTAAGAAGGTTATCACGCCATCTATCATTGGGAAGAGCCACACGGTTCACAATACACTCCACCCTTGGAACGAACCGTGGCATTAAGAAAACCAAAGGCTTATTGCAAATTTCAAAACAAGAAGCTACAAATCACAAATAAGAAGCTAAAAACGAAAAAAATTTGCGGAAAATAGAATGAATATATACAAGATGGGATTCGTCGAATATACAATAGAAGGGATCACTACCAGAAAATGGGCCTATGGGAACAGTTATTTTGGCAACGGTTTGAAAACCGTTGCCATAGAGTGTATATAGTAACGGTTTCAACCGTTACAATAGAACTTTGGGTGATATAGCACACTTTAGACACAAAACCGTTGCCATAGAGATTTTTTTAGGAACGGATTTGTAAACCGTTTCAATAGATATGTATATTGGAACGGTTGTGGCAAAATTTTTTCTATGGGAACGGTTATTAATTTCCCTCTCGTTTTTTCCGCTAAAATTCACTGGCCCGCCTATATTTTATATATTTTTTTTAACTAATTTAATAAAGTAAATAAAATAAACCCCACCCTCCACCTCCAGTACATCGACTACAACTCCCCTCTCTGAACTTTTCTTGCCAAACTCCATTCATCCAAACTCCATTAATGGCCAAGTTTCAGGTTTAATAAATCTTCTCTTAGTCAATTTTCACATTTGCTTTGTCACTTTCACTCTCTCTATATCTATACATTTTTCATTCAAACCCTAGAATTCCAAAAGCCCAAAACGTGTCACCTTCACCATTTTCCGTCGGTCTTTCCGGCACTTATCCGAAGGTTTGCCGGTTACAAACCAATGAACTAAGATATCCACTTCTTCAAGGACAGTTGCTAGCCTTCCCCAAATCCCCAAATTGTAAAATCAGATTTGTGCTCGAATCAGAGAAGCCCAAAATCGCCATAGCCTGGTAATTTTCTCTCTTCTTTTGGTCTTTTTTACTGTTTTTGTTACCATTGCTATATCGTTTTTTACTGCTTTTGTTACCAAAATCGCCATTGTCATGGAGATCAGATTTTTACTGGTCTTTTGTGTTAGTTAGGAATCGAGTTTCATATAAAGAACCATCCATAAAAATACACTTTCGGTTATATTTAAAATTAGATGTTCAGAAATCAGAAATACTTGATTACGCATGTTTTCCCTAAGGTCTGTAGAAATATATATATATATATATATATATATATATATATATATATATATATATATATATATATAGGATGCTAGTTCAAAATTATAGTGATATTTATGGAATCTAAATGTTCAATTTCATGTGTGTGAATTTGTGTAAATTGAAATGTTGGGTAAATGATGAATGCTGATTTGCTTAGTGGGATAGGCGCTCGCTAAGTATCGATTTTTTTTTTGGTTCCTGAAGATGGAGGAATAACACAAACAAGAAAGCTGACTCTTTCTCTATATATGGTTTGTCAAGGAGCATGATATATGCCAAGTATGATTATTCATCTAAGTTGCTACAGCTAAACTGTAGAAGTGATGACATGTACTTGCAACCTTTTTAATTTTTTTTAGACAATAAACAAAGTACTTTTATTAATCACTAGTAACTGAGTAATCCAGAAACAATCCTGTTGCGTAAACCTTAACATCACTCAATTGAAAGCATATGTATTAAACCTTAACATCATTTGACACACTGACTAGAGCTCACAAAATTTCCTTGCCGTACCAAAAGATGTGGAGGCCAGCAATCTTAGTAGGTAGTTCTCTAGGATCCCTTCTAAAAGACACTACAATCTTATGATGATTAGTGGAACGGCTAGCTCTATAAGCGATCTGACTATCTAGACTCAGCTTTGGAACTAAACTTTCGCGCCTGGATTACTCAGTTAACTTTAAGTACTAACATTTATCCACAGATTTCATCTTTCATTAATTCAACACACTATTTTTCAGGTACAAATGCATTGTCATCTAACAACCGGAATTTAAAATTAGTTATATCATGATTTCTGCTCCTAAGGATTGAGTTTGCTGCTGAAGTTCTTTTTGGTTTTCTGAGTTTGCTGCTGAAGTTCTTTTTGGTTTTCTGAGTTTTGAGTTGAAGGTTGTCGATTAAGAATATACTGAAAATAGCTTCTGGTTGTTCTGAGTGTAGTTTTGGTTTTAATATTCTGCCGAGTGTTGGGCAAGTCTATTGCTGACATTGCAGCTTTAGATGGCATTTTGAGTTCGGAAATCAGAGGCTTTGAGTGTAAGTGTTGGGCTACAGTTTAAGAAACAAATCTGCACTGTTGAGCTCCAGTTAAGCTGCAAACCTGCAGCACCTAATTCAGTTAGGTTCCAACTGCATTTTCTGCCCAGCACTGCCTTGAAATAAGTCATCTGATAGTTGTTTATGAGAATAGTAAATGTGACTGATCAGTTGAGTTTTAGAACAGTTTGGGACTGCATTTGAAATCAGCACAACTGAAGCCAAACTTCTGCAATTTCTACACAGTCCAGCTTTTGCTGATGAGTTCAGCAGTCTATAGTTTCTGCCCAGTTTAAGTTTTGCAAATATGACTAGTTTTGCAAAAATAGCCGATTTTTGAGAATATTGGTTGTGAAGAGAACTTTTAGATACCCTTATGTGGAAAAAGGCTAGAGTGGTGAGTTCAATTGAGCGAGGTCGCAAAAGCCTTTGACCTGAGTGTTAACACGAGTGTTGAGTGACATATATATTGAGTGAAACACTAAGGGGGTGAATAATGAGGTCCTATTTTTGACTAACCAACTTTCTTGCTTTACGTTTTCTTTTGTCTAGGTATAAGTGTTGTTTTCTTTTGTCTACTGTACCAGCAACAGTAGTTTTGTTTCAGACTGTTCTTTTCTTTTAGTCTTTTGAGTCTGGTTATTCAATGGTATAGATTGCATGATTTTGATGGCTGGAAACTTTGCCAATATAAGAGGATAATTCTTTTTACATTGAGTCTGGACTGGACATATTAGTTTTGAAGACATATAAGTTGCTTGTTTGTTCAATTTCAGCATATGCTAACGGTCTACATACCTTGCTTTACATTTGAGTAATGATAGGACATGCTTTCTGAATAAAATTTTGACTTGTCCACATTTTGTGTATGTTTTAGTTATCTATGAGAATTTGCTTTTTCCCCTTATCAATTGTACCAATGGATTAAAATGCTATTTGTAATTTGTTAGAAACGATTCATTTTAGCAGAATGGTTCATATATTTTCAACCAAAGAGATAATACATGTTGTGCATCCCTTATAACTGGAAAAAAAGAGAGTACTGCAAATTTTGCGGAGTTACATCTTTGGGATAGTTTCAGCAAATTACTTAGGAACATTCATATGAGAGAAAAATTAGAGAACATCCTGAACTCTCGACTTAATCAACATAAAGCATACAAGAGTTCGAAGACAATGAAAGCATTAACTTGTTATAGTGTAGAGGGACTTGCCTTAAAAGCAGTGGTCAATGTCAAATTAATATGCTTTTGGTTTATTTGGTTAATTTTGTTGATTTACTTTTGTCATATAGGATATCTATGGATAATGGTGATAAAAGTTGGATGAATCTCCTGAGATGGACGAATGAGTATATCCGTGGAGTGAATGATTTTCTTGATAAGGCATTTGAACGAGCCGCCCAAGGAAATGAAATATTATGCCCTTGCAAAAATATCATGAATCGCTATTGGCATTATAGAAATGTGGTGGAGGATCATTTGGTTGTTCATGGATTTGTTGATGGTTATACCAAATGGGTTTTCCACGGAAAAGGATTTTCCTCGAGAAATACACCTCATCCAAGCAATGGTGATGAATGTTCTACCATGCGTGATGATATTGATGGACTACTTCATGATACATTTAGAAATATTGAGGGTCAGGCAGGGGATGAAGAAGGAGTTGGGGAAAGACTATCTGAAGATGCAAAGAAGTTTTTCAAATTGCTGGAGGAAGGAAAACAAGAGTTATATCCGGGGTCTGAAAATTTCAGTAAACTGAGTTTCACTATTCGATTGTACTTGCTTAAATCCTTGCATGGGTTGAGTAATGTGGCTTTCTCTGAATTGTTAGAGTTGATAAAAGAGGCATTTCCCTTTGCTCAGGTACCGGAATCTTTCAACAAGGCTAGAAATATGATAACAGATTTGGGTCTTCATTATGAAAAAATACATGCATGCCCTAATGATTGCATGTTATTTTGGAAAGAAAATGCGAATGCCGAGAATTGCTCTATTTGTGGGTCTTCAAGATGGAAGAGTGGTGGTCCTTTGACTAAAGCTAGCTCTAAAATCCCTGCAAAGGTTTTAAGGTACTTTCCTTTAAAGCCTAGACTTCAGAGGATATTCATGTGTCCTGAAACGGCTACTGCAATGAGATGGCATACTAATGAACGACCCAATGATGGGAATATAAGACATCCTGCAGACGGGGAAGCTTGGAAGGCTTTTGATTCTTGCACCCAGACTTCTCTAGAGATGCTAGGAATGTTAGATTGGGTCTTTCAAGTGATGGTTTCAACCCATTTCGGACGATGAGCATTTCTCATAGCACGTGGCCTGTTATGTTAATGAACTATAATTTATCACCGTGGATTTGCATGAAGCCGGAGTATATAATGTTATCTATGATCATTCCAGGTCCATCATCTCCAGGAAATGATATAGATGTGTACCTACGACCATTAATTGAAGAATTGAAGGAACTATGGGAAATTGGGATAGACACATTTGATGCTGAAACCAACCAAACTTTCCGAATGCGTGCAGCCTTAATGTGGACAGTTAGTGACTTTCCAGCATTAGCAATGCTTTCAGGATGGAGCACTAAGGGGAGATTGGCATACCCCACTTGCAATTATGACACATGTTCTCAATATCTCAAACATAGTCATAAGATGTGTTACTTGGGCCATCGAAGATTTTTGCCTCGTGATCATACATTCCGACGAGATAAGAAGTCTTTTGATGGTAACGAGGAGCATAGACCTGCACCTGATCCATTGTCGGGTGAAGAAGTGTTTGGCGATCTGCTTGAATTCAACAATATCTTTGGAAAGAGCTCTAAAAAAAGGCCTCGGAGTGATAAGGGTCCGTGGAAAAAGAGATCCATTTTTTTCGAATTGCCATATTGGGTGCATAACAAATTGAGGCACAATCTTGATGTGATGCACATTGAGAAAAACATATGTGATGGTTTTCTTGGGACTTTATTAGAAATAGATGGAAAATCAAAGGATCAAGAAAAATCTCGCTATGACTTACAAGAAATGGGGATACGAAAGGAGCTGCAACCAAGAATAAATAATAATGGAACTATAAGTTTGGATAAATCTTGTTTCTACATGGAACCAAAACAGAAAAGTTTATTTTGTACTGTCATGAAAAATGCTAAATTACCAAAAGGGCGTGCTTCGAATATTTCAGAACGCGTGCAAGTGAAGGAGATGAAAATATGAGGGTACAAGAGTCATGACGCCCATTTTATAATGCATTACTTGCTCCAGGTTGCTGTTAGAAAAGTGTCGCCCAAGAATGTTTCATTGGCCTTGATTAGGTTGGGAAATTTCTTTAGAGCTATATGTAGTAAGGTCATAAGGTGAAGAGATCTTGAAACAATGCAGTCTGAAATTGTTGAAATAACATGTGAGCTTGAAAAGATTTTCCATCCAACATTTTTTGACATAATGCCACATTTGCCTATTCATTTGGTGAATAAAATTAAGCTTGGGGGTCCGGCTCATCTTCGTTGGATGTATCCCATTGAGAGGAACCTATGTAAGTACAAGGCCTTTGTACGTAATCGATCTAATCCAGAAGCGTCAATAGCTGAGGGGTTTCTGGCTGATGAGTGCTTGACTTTTTGTTCGAGATATTTACATGATGGCGTGAAGACAAAATTTAGTAGGTACCAAACTGTGGATGATGAGTGCTCTCAAAATTTGTCACCTATATTCCCTAGTATAGGCCATCCAATTGGAAGTAAGAAAAAAAATACTTTTCTCATGGATTCGCAGTTATGCTTTGAAGCACATCGATATGCTCTGTTCAATACTAGAGATGAACAAATGGTAAAGTTTATCGAGTAAGATAAATTATATTAATATTTATTTTATTATATAATTTTTCTTTATTATANACTAGTGCAGGTCTATTATAATCCAATAAAGGCCTAAAATTCCTTCTGAATTCCACTGATTGAGCCCCTCTACAATTCCAGATTATGAAATTCATATGGATTATGTTGGAATCATTTGGACCATTACTGGACTCTCTTGGACGAAGCCTGAATGTGGGGAGAAATAACATTGCATATTTCCCCACCGCTGGGTTTGTTGTTGGCCTTAAGCGGAATGAAGTTGCTAGCAGATTTTGCGGGCACCTTATGAATATCTTTCTTTTGAATTCTTCCTTCTGCACAAAGACTTTGATTCCATCCATGCATGCATGGATTGGTCTTGTCTCTCTGTTGTATATGATGGCTGCGTCTAATTCTGCCTGAAAATTCACTGCCTGTACTTCTTGTTCTTGTGGATTGTGATTTTGAGAAGATGGAGGAGGAGGTGGTGGAGTTGGTGAGGGAGGAGTGGCTGGCCTCAAAAGAGGTGTGTGAGGCTTTGACTCCCTGTAGGGCTGGCCTCAGGTATGCCTGATTTCCCGGGCTGAGGGGTCGCCTTAAGCCCGTGTTCAAGATAGTTTGAGTTCGAGCTCGATGGACTAGGCTCAAGCTCGATGACAGAGTACAAGGCTCGAAAAATTAAGAGTTCGAGGAACGTCAGAGCTTAATATAACTAAACCACGGGATAATGTCGCTATGAATTTGTAACAGAATGAGCAAGATTCCTGCCACGTCCCCAAAATCACGGCGTAAATCCCTGAACGAATTTGTACGAATCTGTATTAGGCGGTTAGACAGCTGTCCCGATACGATTCTTTATTGTAAATAGAAATGTGTCTTATTTAGGGTTCCCCCATTATATAAAGGGGACCCCAATCATTTGTAAAAATCATCTAATCATTGGCAAAGAATATACTCTATACTTTTCGCCACTACCAGAAAATGGGACAGTTATTTTGGCAACGGTTTGAAAACCATTGCCATAGAGTGTATATAGTAACGGTTTCAACCGTTACAATAGAACTTTGGGTGGTATAGCACACTTTAGACACAGAACCGTTGCAATTGTAGCAAAACCGTTGCCATAGAGATTTTTTTAGGAACGGATTTGTAAACCGTTTCAATAGATATGTATATTGGAACGGTTTTGGCAAAACAATTTCTATGGGAACGGTTATTAATTTCCCTCATTTTTTCCGCTAAAATTCACTGGCCCGCCTATCATTTTATATATTTTTTTTAACTAATTTAATAAAGTAAATAAAATAAACCCCACCCTCCACCTCCAGTACATCGACATAACTCCCCTCTCTGAACTTTTCTTGCCAAACTCCATTAATCCAAACTCCATTAATGGCCAAGTTTCAGGTTTAATAAATCTTCTCTTAGTGGATTTTCACATTTGCTTTGTCACTTTCACTCTCTCTATATCTATACATTTTCCGTTCGAACCCTAGAATTCCAAAAGCCCAAAACGTGTCAGCTTCACCATTTTCCGTCGGTCTTTCCGGCACTTCTCCGAAGGTTTGCCGGTTACAAACCAATGAACTGAGATATCCACTTCTTCAAGGACAGTTGCTAGCCTTCCCCAAATCCCCAAATTCTAAAATCAGATTTGTGCTCGAATCAGAGAAGCCCAAAATCGCCATAGCCTGGTAATTTTCTCTTTTCTTTTGGTCTTTTTTACTGTTTTTGTTACCATTGCTATATCGTTTTTTACTGCTTTTGTTACCAAAATCGCCATAGTCATNGTAAAGTACCTGTTGATTTGTATGATCTGGAGGAAGAGAATTGTCCCAATATTGGAGACACATTTTGGCGGTAACCTAATAATGACATTGGTTCCTCATCTATATTTCTTGATGATGACATTAGATGGTCAAGAGAAGATGTACCCGTTGATATCATTGATATTCCATCTCATGCACAAAATTCACATGATACAATTGGGGAAACATCGGAGGAGGAGGATGTGTTTGATGATACTGATTGGGGCTGGATGGAAGCAGATGATTAAATAACAAAATTATAAAATTCTTTTAAGTTAATTCTTTTTTGAGTGAGTAATAATGGTTTTTTTGTGTATAAATATTTTATGATTATTTTTATTTATATCATTTAGAAAATTATTCTGACATGCTTCAATTTTGCAGGATTTGAGATAGATTTCGGATACTTTTGTTCAGTTGTTGAGGCCCGTCCCTTCTCCCACGTCCTCTTTGGTTTAGTTGGTAATTTCTATCCTCCATGAAATTATAGCAATATTATAGCTATTAGGTATGTGTTGGTGATCTGAGAATTTATCTTTGCATGCTCTTTCTTGAACAGAAAAGGTGGGGATTTTGGTTAATGGGATTTCTTCCTTTTGCTGATTGATATTTATTGCTGATTTTTTCTATGCAGGTCCAGTGAATTAAGCTCTTTCAAAAGTTTTGCTTGAAGAAAAACTCTTCATTTTTGGACTAGGTAAATTTTTGCATCATTACTTGGCTTCTAATTGACCTTTCTTTGTTGTTAATTTGTTCCAACTTTGTGAACACTACAAATTTATGTGGGTATATTCTTGCTATGTTATGCTAATTTTGAATAATAAAAAAATTAATATAGTGATCCACTTGATGAATTGATTCCTCCACATGTATTATTGGTGCTGACATGGCAATATACAATTGGATCATAGCTAATCTTAACATTCACGTTTAATTTACTGAATAAGGTCATGGCTATTCTTTTAACCTATAGGCATCAAACCCTACCAAAATTGTTATAGTGTGAGCTGTAAGCCTTAAGGCCAATTGGATTGGTGGTAGACACATCAGAAAGGAAACTGTGGGTCCCATTTTGGCTTTGTGTATTTTCCCAATAAAGAAAATAAATGAGCTGGTCAGGGGGTTCTGTCCAAGGCAGGAAATAACTAAATTAGGTTAAATGGAGCATTAAGGGAAGGAAAGCTTTTTGGATTTCTGATTAATACACTACTGTTGAACAACTGTAAAGGATAACAAAAAAAGAAGAGAAAAGGATTGTTAGATAGCTTCCTTGAAACTAAGCTTTGTTCAATACTACACTCCTCTATATAAATAGCTCATTCTCCCATTGTTCATAATGTACTTGTAAGCAACTGTGACGATGAAAAGAGAAATAGTAAGCCTGGCCAAACAGTGTTTGAAATTGTTCGTCAACGCAGGCTAATCAACTTAATAATTCTAGTTAAAGATTGCACATATTGTAAAAGTTGCATAGAGTATAAGATCATCTAATATTGTGTGTTATTATAGAGTTCAGAAAAATGGGGAAAAGGGAAAATAAAATTGTTATTCAAAAGAGAATACAACTGAAAAGTGTAAAAGAAGCATAACCAGAATAACATTTAGTTATATTGTGTTTGCTTTTCAGAATCTGAAAAATATTTGAATAGTCATGAATCAAGAAGGGTGCTCAAGCAAATATAAGAAAATATCCAACCGCATTCCAGTAAGGATCACTTGCATCTTTGCGAAATCAAAGGGTTTCGTCATTGACAACAAAAAGAACTTTCCAAGCTACAAGGTCAAATGCAAATGAAGAACGACAATCAGAAGGTGGATTACCTTCATCTTGCGAAATCAAAAAGTTTCGTTGTTGACAACAAAAACAGCCTTGAAAGCTCTAAGGTCAAATGCAAATGAAAGATGACAATCCGAAGGTGGATCTCAATTGCAAGAACAAGTGCAGCAAGTGCCACAGAATTGCACCTCTTCAACAACACAAGGAGTACATGAACAAGCAGTGTTTAAAGAAGCGAGCGCTTCGTCGCTTAAAGCGCGAAGCGAGGCGATGCGATGCTGTGTCGCTTCCAGTTCCTTGAGGCGACTCGATTTGCAGAAGCGCACGCTTCCCTGGAAAAATCGATGAAGCGACGAAGCAACCAAAGCGATGAAGCGATCGCTTAATTGAAAAAAGCGCAAGGGCCTTTTTAAAAATAAAAGAACTTTGGGTCTGAGACAAAACAGACCCTAAATTGACCAAAAACCCTCTTCGACCAAAAACAGAGGCTCGGCAGTCGCTCATCTTCTTCTTCAGTCAACAAAAAAAAAGCTAGGGTTCCATCTTCTTCTTCTTCGGTCGCTCGACCAGTCGACCTCGAAGACCAACCCAAGTAATTTCTTCTCCTTTCTTCTCGTTTTTTTGTTTTTTCTTTCTTCTGCTTTCTTCTTCAGACCAGTCGACCACTCTTCTTCTTCTTCTTCTTCATTTTTCTGCTTCTTCTTTCTTTCTCTCTCTGTTTCGACTTTATACAGTCAGAACAGGGGAAGGAACAATTTTTTCTTTTTTTTTCCTTTTCGTTTGTGTATATTTTCAGCATATATATATATATATATATATATATATATATATATATATATATACATATATATATATATATATATTTAATTATTGTATTTCAGCATATAAAATTATTATTACATTTTCAGCATATATATATATTTAATTATTGTATTTCATTTATTATTTTATTTCAGCATATAAAATTATTATTATATTTTCAGCACATATATATTTAATTATTGTATTTCATTTATTATTTTATTTCAGCATATAAAATTATTATTATATTTTCAGCATATATATATTTAATTATTGTATTTCATTTATTATTTTATTTCAGCATATAAAATTATTATTATATTTTCAGCATATATATATTTAATTATTGTATTTCATTTATTATTTTATTTCAGCATATAAAATTATTATTATATTTTCAGCATATATATATTTAATTATTGTATTTCATTTATTATTTTTCAGTTTATTGATTATGTTTACGCTTATATCTTAATAGGGATATTAAAATGTCTCAAAGTTCGAAAGAGAAAAACCCGGCTTGGCGATATGGCGAGAGAGTTAATGAGAAGAATACAAATATTTTATGCATCTTTTGCAACAAGATTACAACGGGTGGAATTTATCGCTTTAAATACCATCTAATTGGTGGCGATAGAAACGTCACAAGTTGTCCGAAATGTCCACCGGAGGTGAGGGAAGAAATAAAGAATTTTGTTGAGAAGAAGAAGGAGCTAAAAAATCAAATGGTTCATCAACCAATGGTGACCAATCTTGATGATGATGATGATGACGATATTGAAGAATTGTCACTTCCAACAAAACGGGGAAGAGATGGGTCAAGCCATGGATCATCGACTAAAAGTCCTATGGATTGCTACTTCTCAAAGAAGTAGGGAGCAAAGGGCGGTGGAAAAGATGTACAAAAAGTTTCTAGAGACATTTGAGGGATCGTGCAGTTAGAGCTTTTGCACGATGGGTCTATGATGCTGGGCTCCCCTTCAATTGTGTCAACTATGACACTTTTGGAGACTTTATTGAGGCCGTTGGTCAATACGGACCTGGAATGAAGCCTCCCACTTACCATGAAATAAAAGGTCCTTATCTAAATAAGGAAGTGGAGGAGACTAATAAAATTATTGAGGAGCATAAAGTTGTGTGGAACAAGTACGGCTGCTCCATTATGATGGATAAGTGGACGACAAGAACGGAGAAAATGATTATTAATGTGTTGGTGAATTCTCCCGGGGGAAGTTTGTTTCTTGAGTCCATTGATGCTAGCGACTCATCCACCGACCACATCAAAATGTTCACCTTGTTTCAGAACACCATCGAAAAGATTGGTCCAAGAAAAGTTGTCCAAGTGGTCACTGATAATGCAAGTGAAAATGTGAAAGCAGGTTGCATGATTGAAGGAGCGTACAAGAATGTCTATTGGACTCCATGTGCGGCTCATTGTATCAATTTGATGTTCGGGGACATTTTCAAGGAAAGACCCTTCTCTACAGTTTTTGGCCAGGGCGTTAGGTTATATTCTTATATTTCTCAGCGGCCATTGTTATTGAATATGATGAGAAGATTCACCATGCAAAAAAGTTTGGTGAAACCGGGCAAGACAAGGTTCGCCACTGCTTTCTTGACTTTGAGTAGTCTCCACTGTCAAAAAGACAATTTGAGAAAGATGGTCACTTCAGAGGATTGAAGCAAGAGTAAATTTGAAAAGGAAAGTGCGGGGAAAGAGGTTGCACGCATTATTCTTTCTTGTTCTTATTGGAATAATGTCCTTCATGCTCTTAAAATTGGTGGCCCTTTGGTTAAAGTACTCCGTTTGGTGGATGGGGAGCAAAAACCATCAATGGGCTACCTCTATGAAGCTATGGATAGGGCCAAAGAGACTATTCAAGCATCAATCATTGATGAGCAGAAATATGCAAAGGTCTTTCAGATCATTGATGCAAGATGGGATGAGCAACTTCATAGACCTTTGCATGCAGCTGGACTTATTCTGAACCCCTCACTCTTTTATGAGCAGTATGAGAAGAATTCATTGGCTAAAGAAGTGTGGACAGGATTCCATCAGGTTGTTATCAAGTTGAACCAAGATGAAGACTTGCAAGAGAAGATAGTAGATCAGCTTGCTACTTACAAGGCAGCTGAAGGACTTTTTAAGCTTCGACTTGCTATTAAACAAAGAACGACGAAGTCGCCAGGTGACCAAGTGTTTCTATATTTTATAACTCTAACTTCGATGTATTTTTTATACTTATTAACTCTTGAATATTTTTTTTGACTTCTATAGTTGAATGGTGGGACCAATATGGTGCAGAGACTCCGGAGTTACAGACTTTCGCCATCAAAGTTTTAAGCTTAACTTGTAATCAGAAAATCTCATCTCGTACTGAGACACCGTCATACCAGCCTGATGTAACTGCTCAAACTATCTGCGCAGCTCCTCTCTGAGGGACTGCGGCACATACTTCTCTAGGAAAAGAACGAAGAACTGCTGCCAGGTATGGGGCGTTGCACCAACAGTCCTACGCCTCTCATAACCCTCCCACCAAGTGAAGGCAGCTCTAGAGAACAGAAAGGTAGTGAACGAGACCCTACCGGCCTCCAGATACCTGCTGTATGGAGAATCCTCTAACACTTATCCAAGAAACCCTAGGCATCCTCGCCCTTTGCACCACTGAAAGTCAGAGACTGAAGTCTACCAAACCTCTCCAATCTACGCTACTCATCATCAGGCATGACTGGAATCACATAGTCCTGAGCAGGTGCAACCCACTGGGCTGGTGGTGCCGCCGGTGTCTGAAGTCCCTGTACTACCTACTCGGGTGTACGGGCGGCGGGAGTTTGAGCACCTCCCTCAGCCTGAGAAGTGGCTACTATAGTAGAAATAGAGACCGCCTAAGTAAGACTGGTGCACACGGTCAGAATCTGAGCTAAGATCTCCTGAAGACCTAGAATCACGAAGGGCACAGCTGGTGCCTGAGCTGGTCCCGCTGGTGCATCCACAACTGGGACCTGATCCTGTACTGGGGAAACTGGTGGATCTGCAAGTGCTGCCCTAGATGCTGTGCGGGCTACACCCCTGCCCCTACCACGACCTCGACCGCGACCTCGGCCTCTCGGGGCCCTAACTGGTAGCACTGGTGGCTGTCTGTCCTTCCTAGTAGCACGTGTCCTCATCATTTGTGAGATAATAGAATCACAGAAGTTTAGTTACCAGTATCAACAGATTTGCACGATAAGAATTCAAGAATGTGAAGTTTCCTAAGGGTTCTGCAACCACTCGAAGATAAGTACAGACGTCTCCATACCGATCCGCAAGACTCTACAAAACCTGCTAATTACTCGTGAGACCTATGTAACCTAGGCTCTGATACTAACTTGTCATGACCAAAAACACGACATGTCGTGATTACGCCTATCGACAATACAAGGCCAGCCGACATTGCCAGACGCTTTCAACAATAACCCGAAATAAATCAAGACTTTTAAAATAATTGAAATATTTATCGTAAAACGGGGTGAACCACAAAACATAAGTGCGGAAATAAAGCCTGACATTGGGGTGTCACTAGTCATGAGCTTCTAACATAACCAATCCGAACATAACAAGACTAGCATGGTATGGAATCCAAAATACAGAAAAAAAGGAAAGATAGGGAAGAAGAAAGTAGTACTGCGAACGCTGGTAGCTACCTCATGATCTCCAATGACCAGCTACATGTACTATCAACAACCTCCGCATCCAACAACTCCTGGATCTGCACACGAGGTGCAGGGAGTAACGTGAGTACACCAACTTAGTAAGTAACAATAATAAATAAGGAACTGAAGTTAGTGACGAGCTACACACATTTTAGTTAAGTTTCAATAATTTTAGAAAGGAAAATAGTCATGCTTCCCAAGTTCTGGTAATTCGAGTCAAATCAATTTATTTTAGTCAAGTTCAAGTAAAACCAAATAAGAACATCTTTCAAGAGTTCTCAAAATATGGATATAAGGTAATAGTATGCATCAATAATGTAATCATGTACTGCCTCTCAGGCAATCATCTCTCAGTCCTCCCAATCACTCCAACCTCAATTTCCCTCATTCTTCCAGTCACTCATT